GTCACAGTGAAAAGGGTGTGGCCTCTGTATCCATTAGTCACAGTGAAAGGGGTGTGGCCTCTATGCATCAGTTACAGTGAAAAGTGTGTGGCCTCTGTATCCATTAGTCACAGTGAAAAGGGTCTGGCCTCAATATCAATCAGTCACAGTGAAAAGGGTGTGGCCTCTGAAACCATTAGTCAAAGTGAAAAGGGTGTGGTCTCTGTATCCATTAGTCACAGTGAAAGTGGTTTGGCCTATGCATCAGTTACAGTGAAAAGGGTGTGGCCTCTGTATCCATTAGTCACAGTGAAAAGGGTCTGGCCTCAATATCAATCAGTCACAGTGACTAGGGTGTGGCCTCTGTATCCTTTAATCTAAGTGAAAAGGGTGTAGCCTCAATATCAATCAGTCACAGTGAAAAGGGTGTGGTCTCTATACCCATTAGTCACAGTGAAAGGGGTGTGGCTGGGCTGCTATGCATCAGTTACAGTAAAAAAGGGTGTGGCCTCTGAACCCATTAGTCACAGTAAAAAGGGTGTGGCATCTATATCAATCAATCACCATGATAAGGGTATGGCCTCTGTGTCTATCAGTCACAGTGGAGAGGGCATGACTTTTATATCCTTTCATATGTCATCAAATACTACAATGTTTTGTTGGTTAGACTTCAAATACACTGTAAGTATTTTTTATTGGGACATTTTTATTTAGCTCCAAAACATACTAACATACTAACTATTTCTCCTTTTTTTTCTGAAAAAAGTGTTTGTGCTTTATTCCGTATTTTTTGGGCCTCCTTTATTGTTGCTTTCATTGTTGTTCTGTTTTGTAGAAACAGCTCAAGTGAAGTCTTCAAGTCCAGCACCTGCAGGCTCGCTCCCTAAAACATCGGGAAGGTGAGAACTTAATCGTGAAAACTGAGGAGTTTTATTAGGTTTGATAAGAGTTTCCCGTATTTTGTCATGCTAACTGGTATCACTAGCATTTACTTGGTTTAACTGAACTGTGCTTTGATGGCTGTGACGCTAACGATGTTCATGATGATTGACAAGCTTGATGGTTATTAGGCTTAATTTGAAGTAATAGTTGTTTAGTACACTTAAAAAGAACATGTGTATTGGGTTGAGATCTGAAGAGCCACTAGTATGGTCTCTGTAGACAATTCAATAGCTAGTTAATAGCCTTCTTGCTAAACAGCTAATTAGTTTGTTTGAGCCTGACATACAGTAGTTAAGGCGAAGCTAAACACAGGTAATACAGTTCACTTTGCACTCCATTTCATTACGCAATCATTCTGACATGCCATTCCTCTGTGAATGTAAAATTGACATATGCTTGCAGTGCATTGTGGGTGTTACCCATTTTATGAACACCTGAAAATAGAGTATCCACTCAATAAGTCGGTTTAAGTAGGATTATGTGATTTCCGCCATTTACCATGGCTGACTTCAAACTGAGAACACAAACAAGACAGAGCGTAAGCTTGTTCTTGTCGTTTTCTTGGACACAGTGTGGCTGCTGGAGTCAGAGTATCCCGAGGCTCGGCGCTCGGCGGCCCAAACACCAAAGACGTGAAACAGATGCTGCTGGACTGGTGCAAAGCCAAGACCGAACCATACGAGGTGAGTGCGGGGGGAACTGACTTTTCCATCACCCTATAAGCCTGTCCACGTATATTAGCACAACATGTCAAATTTCAGCATTGTTCTGTTTTTTCTTCTTGTTTTCCGATATGTTTACAATTAAATTGAGCTCTACTCTTACCTTAAGCCGACGTGGTTTCAAGTATAGATATACTTGATGCAACATTAGCTAACTTCAAGATGCTAATCAGTGTCTTAATGAACGTTCGATCGCTAACCTCACTGTGTTTGTGTGTCAGGGTGTGAACATACATAACTTCTCGTCGAGTTGGGCCGACGGTCTTGCGTTCTGCGCTCTGGTGCACCGATTCTTCCCTGAAGGGTTCGAATACTGCACTCTGGACCCATACGATCGCAAAGCCAACTTTGAGAAAGCCTTCAGAACTGCAGAGTGAGAAGATGTTTGGATGGGAAACCCAACTAATAGCTGCTCATGGTGGTCGTACTGTACGTAAACAGCTGTACATTGTGTATGTGTGTGTGTGTGTGCGCAGGACGTTGGGCGGCTGTCCTCGTCTGCTAGACGTCGATGACTTGCTGCGGATGCGGGAGCCGGATTGGAAGTGTGTGTACACCTACGTCCAGGAGTTTTATCGCTGTTTAGTGGAGAAAGGACTCGTCAAGACCAAACAGAAGACCCCTTAACCGCACGTACACACACAGCGCCAAAGGTGAGTCACAGGCAAAAAATGTTAACTGTCAAACACTCTTGATTCCTTACAGTCCTACAGCTAGTTGATTGCTGTAGTGTGTAGAAGTGTGACACAACATACATTTCTGGACTACAACATACATCTTTTAGGTTGGTCTTGTACACCTGGGAAAAAATGAGGACTTTTGTAGTCATGAAAAATCCTGAAGCAAATAAATACTTCCGAAATTCTTCATTAAAATAGGGAGATGTTTATTTACATTTGTGAATGAAGAATTATAGTGAGAAGAATTGTGTTTATGTTTATGAAGAAATGAATATTTTGGTCACCTAGATGTTCATAAACCAACCTCAGTGCGGTAAATTGAAATGCAGGTTAGCGGAAAGCGATGTTTAAATCCATTTTGAGCCTCTTTAATGAACGCAATTGTTCCATAGATTCATAGTGGGAATGAGGAAAAACGACAAGGACTATTTTCAGAACTATTCATCTGTAACAATTAAAATTACTAACAGAATAATGGAAAAATCTGAATACGTTTCTTTCACCGTTGCAGTAAATGGAAGTTTGAGAACGTTGTAAGTCCAATTTTTTTTTGTTTTTTTTTTGCAAGAAAGTAATTCACTTCACTAATTCACTTCTCTTCAGCTTAAAGAGTTCCACTGAAACCTCTTTTCATCTGAATAGTGAGATGTCATGTGAGAGTTTTATCATAGAGAAAACATTTTATTCCAGTACCGAACAAACACCACATTTCAAGTGCTTTACCATTTTTATAATAGAGATATATTTTAAAAATTGAATAGACTACTCTACACAAAAGTGGTCCGTTGCCTACAGTTCACATTGAGCGAAGATCCTCCGCTCTCTCACGCTGCGGCTCAGTTTGACTCCTGTATACACGTGGTCACTTTGTCACTTTAAGAGTCTCCTGTCTGGTGAAGTGTAAAACACGATGTGTGCTTATGTGTGTGAGAGAGAAAGAGAGTTATGCCTCGCAATCTGTACATTCCACAGAGGTTACATATCTGTATTAATCTTACTCAGGGCAGGCACCATTATAGTGTGTGTGTGTGTGTGTGTGTGTGTGTGTGTGCTTGGATGACTTTTTATGGTGCTGTTGCTCTGTTCTGGAGGCAAAAAGTCACCCTGTCTGCTTATTAAGGACATTGGAGCTGAACCCAGAATTATATTTATCTGATGTATTAAAATATCTCCAGCACACATCAATTTTTATAAGAGCTTAAAAAATACATCATCTAAAGTGTCCTCTTATCCTACAGGAGTGGGAGAATCGTTTACAGAACTCTTTGTCCATGAATAAGTGTAGTGACGGACGTTCAGGTCCACGTTGTGTTGAGATGATGCACAGGGTCAGCTTTGAGGGGCTGGAAGCTACACCTTCTTTACCAGGACAGACAGACACTAAGGCCACACCTCCTTTACCAGGACAGACACTTAGGCCACACCTTCTTTACCAGGACAGACACTTAGGCCACACCTTCTTTACCAGGACAAACAGACACTTAGGCCACATGTCCTTTTGCAAGATTGACAGACACATAAACCACACCTCCTTTCACTGGTACTGACAGACACATAGGTTACACCTCCTTGACTGGAACTGACAGACACATAGGCCACACCTCCATCACTGGGACTTACAGACACATAGGCCACACCCCCTATACTAGGACTGACAGTCACAGAGGCCATGCCTCCTTTACTAGGATTGATAGAATCAGTCTTCACGCTCTTGTTTTCTTTTTTTCTGTGTTTTATCCAGGTCTGAGTTTTAAAGGAAGTGATGTGGCCAGATCCAGACCAGAGGGAAAGACACACACACACACACACACACGCTTACTCAGGAACAGAGACACGCCTCCTTCAGTCCTGCAACATAATGCAAGCACCAAATAAACTGCAGATGCTGTAAAAATTGTAAAACCACATATGACCACTAGGTGGCAAACTTTAATCTTTGACTTTTTATACCACGTTGAAGTGAGAAATGCACTGTCACTTGTTCCAACTCTGGTCAAGCTACATTTGAGTGTTTTCCCTGCTCTAACACGCCCACGTCAACTCAGGACGGGCTGGTAATCAGCTGATTGGTTGGATCGGGTGAGTTGGGAGCAGGAAAACTAAAATGTGCAGGAAAGGTGCTTGTCCAGGACCAGGGTTGAAATCTTGTGCACTATGTTGTAACTATCGTCGCCTTCAAATCCTCCTCTGAAGTTTGTGTGTACGAGTTGGGAGGTCTTGATTACGATGCTGTGTGTTCAGATGGTTTCGGAATAAAACAGATGGCGTTTTCAAAACGCGTCTAAAAAAAGCGTCTTTTTTTAAATGATTTCTTTTTCAAAACCATGAAGTTCATTTTGCCTTTCAGAATGAAGAGCTGAACAGTTGTAGTCACGTCATTGTCATGGCGTTCAAGTCCCCTCACCTCGTGCCATATTTCTGACAGGACTTGTATAGGCAGTATATAGTAAATTGCGGTTCTGTTTTTTTTTTTTTTTTAATAAAGTTTTGCTGTTTGTCACAATGTGGTTTGCGGCCCTGATGCATAAACGACTTCATTTTCAGTTTCAAGGAAAAGTTCGCCCAAAAATGAAATCGCGACTTTCCCCTGTCTTGAAGTAGTCTAGACGCCAAGACTTGTTCGTTGCATGAAGTTTTACACTGGAGCTACAAGCAAGTCTAGCTAGCAAGTAATACTGCAGTGGTGGCTCAGTGGTTAAGGTGTCGGTCTTCTGTTCAGAAGGTCATGAGTTCAAACCCCAGTGCTCTCAAGCCACCATTGTTGGGCCCTTGAGCAAGGCCCTTAACGCTCAAATGTATGCATGCGATAAATGTAAGTCACTCTGTATAAGGGCATCTCCCAAATACTGTAATTGTACATGAATAGTAGAAGCTTATAGCTACCAGTTTCACAGCTGTCATCTTCCCAAATACTATTTTTGGGTCAGTTATACCCTTTTATACATAAACAGATTCTAGAGAACTTCAGAACTAGAGCTATATTATCATCTGATGTCCTGAATCTGATGCAGGACACAAAACTATGTTCTGATGAAGAAAACTATTTGGTTTCTATGACTGTTTTGGTTCGGCTGCCTTTGAAACGCAGTTTGCACGCTGTTATATTTAAGGCTATAAGCTTCAATTACTCATCACCATGCCGAACTAACGTCACAGCAATCTGACACCAAATATGTCAACGGACTACATTTCGGATAAAGAGGAACATTGTATGAATGTCTTAAAAAAAAAACCACTTTATAATTAAAAACACTCGGGGGTATGCTGTTATTGGAAAATAATAAACACCAGGGTGGTGTGATGCAGCTGGACACAAACAAGAGGTAATGTTACCATCCCAAATCGTTTGATTCTTCTTATAAGAAGTTGTAATTAAAAAAAAAAAAAATATATATATATATATATATATATATTAAAGAACAACATGTCATATGGGGCGCACGGTGGCTTAGTGGTTAGCACGTTCGCCTCACAGGGTCCTTGCTATCGTTTACATTTATTTATTTTTAGTCTTTCCCTCACCAACCTCGCATTTTTTCTCTCTTTTGAAGACAGTAAGATACTTTTTTTTTTTTTTAAAGCGCAGTTTTTTCCTAGTGTCTGAAAACTGAAAAAAGAAACAGCTTTACCTCTGACACTGGAGACTCCTTCCATAAATGTTAAATATACACACGTTTTAATCCAATGATGTGGAGTGAGTGCCTGTCTTTATAGTTGCTATAGTAACGATCTTTAGAGCGGGGATCAATGCCTTCTGACCAATCAGCATTGAGGATTCAGTAGCGCTGTGGTATAACAGTCACATGACAAACTTAACGTAAGGATTATGTCGTAAACTGATAAAGTGATGGAAATAGGTGTGCTTAATGTCATCAGCAAAACATCTATCCATCCAAACATTCATCCATTTTCCGTACCGCTTATCCTACGCAGGATTGTGGGGAGCCTATCCCAGGGAACTCGGGGCACAAGGCCGGGGACACAAGGACGGGGTGCCAACCCATCACAATGCACAATCGCACACACTCACGTATACGGACAATTTGGAAATGGGAAGGAGGAAACCGGATGACCCTGAGGTAACCCCTTAAGCACTGGGAGAACATGCGGAGGGCAGAGGCAGGATTCGAACCCCCAATGTTTAATGTGAAAATCTAAAATGATCATCATTCAATTATTCTTTCACGTCATTTCCCCCTATTATTTTGTGTTTAAAACTTTCACCCCCCACCCCCTCACACACGCCCAGTCTGACGCAGTTAGTGACCCTGTGGGGGCCGCATGCAGGTGTCACTCGCGCGTGCACGTGCGTGAGGACGGTTGCTTATGCGTTTTCGATCCCCCGCACGCGCTTAAAAAAAATACAATAAATAATTCAAATTTTTTATTAAAAAATAGAAATGATAGAATTGTTGCGTCGCGAAACGTTCCATGACGTCACTACGCTTTTCGAATTGACAACAACAGATGTTGGATGAGATGTGACCGAGTCCCGGTCACACACACACACGCGCACGCATGCTCACGCACTCACACACACAGAGCACATCCATCTCTCTCTCTCTCTCTCTCTCTCTCACTCTCTCTACATCTCCCACGGCTGTCCGGCAAAGGTGTCGCGTGCAGTCCCTGTCCTACGCGGGGATAAAACGCATTCACCACCAAGGACAGGACAGGACAGGTGAGGAATCCACCACATCCGTCATCACATCATACAGGTTCGTGTGTGGTGCATGTGCGTCTGCGTGCGCGCGCGGTGTGTTTGTGCATGTTAGTGACGGTTATCTGTTTTAGTCTGTTATTGATCACGTGACCGCTCTGTCCTCACGCGCGTCCCTCGCTCTGTCTATATATATATATATATATATATATATATATATATATATATATATATATCATAAGCTCATGTATCGTGCTAATTAGGCAAGACGTAAGCTTGTCAACTTTGAGGGAGAAATAAAAAAAAAATAAACCAAAACAACCTAAACTAAACAAAATCCCGATCTTTTGGTTCGAACTGTTACAACTATTAACGGATTAAGGAAATTCGTTTGATGTTTCTGAGTCCCGGCGGAAGTAACGCAACAATAACCGTTTCACCTTGTGGAATAAAAGGTAAGCTATGCTACATTCCCGCCAGTCAGCAGTGAGTCTGTAGTGTGGAGGAAACACTGATCTGTGCCACACTCTTTATGATGGATATCAGCAGAGGAAACAGTTGTTGAGACTCCGTGCAGAGGTTAAGGTTACGACCAAATCGATTTAACTTCGCCTTATGGCCATTGCGCATGCGCGGTCGCTGGGTAACGCGGTGTGGCTTTAACACCGAATTTATTCTCCTAATTTAATCATGCCTCTCCCGTTTGGTGCTACCTCCTAGAAATAGACATTCAGAGTAGATAGACCCGTAGAATGATGTAAAACATTTATACATTAAACTACAATATATATATATATATATATATATATATATATATATATATATATATATATATATATATATATATATATATATATATATATATATCTTATAACTTTCTTAATAATAAAAAAAGCTTTTTCACTTTATTTCAACATATACTGCATATTAAAATCTTTAGTCATTTTTATTTTATATATATATATAGTTCACCTCACCTCCAGGGTCCGGGGTTCAATTCTGTACATCCATACTGTACTATTTCACACTGTCTGTTGTTACCCAGATGAGGATGGGTTCCCTTCTGAGTCCGGTTCCTCTCAAAATTTCTTCCTTTAAACATCTTAGGGATTTTTTCCTTGCCACCGTCGCCACTCAGTGGCTTGCGCAGTTGGGCCGTGGCCCTGTGTGTGCGGAGTTTGCATGTTCTCCCCGTGCTGCGGGGTTTCCTCCTGGTACTCCGGTTTCCTCCTACAGTCCAAACACATGCATGGTAGGCTGATTTGTGTGTCCAAAGTGTCCGTAGTGTATGATTGGGTGTGTGAGTGTGTATGTGATTGTACCCTGCCTTGTGCCCGATGCTCCCTGGGATAGGCTCCAGGTTCCCCGTGACCCTGAAAAGGAGTGAGCGGTAGAAGATGGATGGATGGATATATATATATATAAATGAAATCCTTCATTTATATCACAGTACTTTTGAATTCTCAGATGTGATTGGTTAATCAGGTGTTGAGGAATTTTTTTCTATCAGCAGCTCTGACAGTACTGTGCCAGCTGTAATTCAAGCCTCAGCTTTATATTAATGCGCCCGTTCTAATACGTTATTGTTTCTATAGTAACAGCTCCTTAATGGGGACGCCGTTAATAATGGATTTAAAAAAAGTGTGTTATTTTAAGAACAAGATCTCGTTATACTCGTTAATGTGACATTTTAACACGTATGAAAGGAGTCTCCAGTGTCAGTGCTTTGTAACAGCCAGTCAGTTTTCCACCACAGTGCTTTCCGCTATTCTCTGCAACACGATATTTTTTTTACTTGAAAAAAAAAAAGTTTATTTTTCTATAACAGCCTGCCCCCAGTATGATTTCTTCCTCTTATATCATTTTACATATAGGCATGTAATAACAGATATAAAAAAAACCAAACAAAAAAACTGCCTCTTATTTTATTTTAAGAGTAGTGTACAGGATGTCAGTTTCAAAAATAATTTCATGTAAAACGCTTCCAGCCCAAACGTTTCTCCTAACAGAAGGTTCCTCTTGGTTCCGCTTGCTGGAGTCGGGTCTGTCTGAATGAACTCTTTGAGCATCCATGTTGTGCATACTGGTCAGTAGCACACTGTAGCAAATCATATCATATATATATATATATATATATATATGACAAAAATATCATACCACAATATTTCAACACAAGTATAACAATATATAGTTTTCCTATCATACTGCCAGCAAAACAGTAAACAGTGTTATAGTTATTTTTATTTATTGCCTACAAAAATAAATAAATCAACACAAAAGAAAATAAGGAAATCTTTGACAATTTGAAAAAATAAACCGTTACATGTTGTTAAAAAGCGTTTTAAAAATGATATATTTAAAAAATAAAAAAAAAGATCTCACGATATCGCTCAGAAGAGTATATTGTATATCGTTAGTTCCCAGAGAAAGTAAGGTCCAGGGCGAGTGTAAGAGTGGATAAGAGTAGGACAGGAGGGTAGAGGTAGAGTTATCACTTTTAATTTGACACACAACAGTAGGACTGGGTATTTACAAACACATACAGGACAAGCACAAACCAGGACGACAGGGAAACTAGTCTCTCCTAAGAGAGAGAACGTGGACGTCGCAACGAAAGAAAACATAAAACTGACACTAGGCTGTATTTAATGCCGCTAACCTGACTGCCAAGAACATCAACCAACAACTAGCGAACTACACTCGTCCAAGAGTCTGCCACAACGATAAGTTATCCCAATAATCCCTATTTTGAAGGTTATGATTGTTGGCATATGGTAATAACATCCATAAGCATGTGCCGCATATTTATTTATTTTTTGGGGGGCTGGGTAATGTTTATTGCTTGGATCTGATACAACAACTATTCTGTGCCCAGAAATGAACAGCTGAGTTAGCATGAAGGAATTTTATGTGATGGCATTCGGTTGATTAAAATGCCGACGTGTCCGGTGTAAACGCTGAGTAAGGGAGCTCCGCGTGGCGTGTGGTGCGCAGCGTGTGTCTGGACATTTATTCACGCAGACGCTTCGTTGCACAAGCCGTGCAAGTGCTGGTTATACACCTGTATTCATCTTACAGCATGTTAT